CTCAAGTTCAGGAAGAACGCTCAGTCTCTCTCCCAGCCCACCATCCCTCAGCCAACAGTCTCTCACAGTCTCTCTCCCAGCAGTGCATGTCCCTTGGTGTCTCATTCAGCAATGCGTGTCTCTTGCATCTCTTTCCCAGCAAGCGAGTCTCTTTCGGCAGCACATCTCCCCCAACCAGCAGTCAGAGAGAGAGTTCTGCCTCTAGGAGGCCTCCTTTTGAGCTTGGCAGAGTGGCCAAACCAGCCAATCATAACAACAGAAATCTAAGCACCTGAGAGAGAACCTCCCATAACATTGCATTGTGCCACACCCAACAGAAAAGCCCAGGTGGATAACATTTACAATCAGGAGCTCCTCAGTTGCTCATTCCACCACTGAGTTTACAATGACTTATGGGTAGAAAAGTCATACTAAGTAATTTACTACACTGCACTGCCTAAGACATTTGACTGCTAACCAGATTTAAAAAAAAAAAAAAAAAAACACAACCAAACTCACTGCCATCCAGTCAATTCCAACTCATGGTGACCCCCTTTGGGTTTCTCAGGTGGTGAATCTTTACAGAAGTAGACTGCCCAGTCTTCCTTCTGTGGAGTGGCTGGTGGGTTTGAACCTCCAACCTTCTGGTAAGCAGTCAAATGCCTTAGGCATTATGCCACCAGTTGGCAGTTCAAAAACCCACTAGCTTCTTTCCTGCTTCTGGACTCTCCTCAACCCTCTAACTCTCCAGCTGCCATCTGGAGTTTTGTGATCTTACTTTATGCTTGTTTTTATTCATTATTCAGTGGATTAGTTGCTGGGAGAGTAAATGGCCTCTGCTCACTTAGGCATTTTGCTCCACCTTCTCCATAGAGTTTTCTTGGCTGAGATCTTTATGGATCACCAGGCCAATGGGTGGGTTTGAACCACTCACCATTTGGTTAGTAGTTGATCACAAAACATTTGTGCCACTTACCCATAGCCCATTGCCAGAGTCAATTCTAACTAATAGTTGCCCTATAGGAAAGAGTAGAACTCTCATAGGGTTTCTAAGGCTGTAATCTTTACAGAAGCAGACTGCCAGACCCCCCAGGGCAAGTGTGTGGGTTCAAACTGCTGACCCTTTGGCTATCAGCCAAGTGCTTAACCACTGTGCCACCAGGGCTCCTTTCATGCCACCTAAGCCCCTCATAAAACAAGCCACAGGCCATAATTCTCTGATCCCTGACCTACAGCAGTGCTTCTTAAACTATAATGGGCATACATATCCCCCAAGGAACCATTTAAATGAAAATGCAGGTTAATTAAGTCTGCATGGGGAGTGATTATGCATGTCTATCAAGCTCTCAAGTGAAGTCAATGCTGCTGATAGGGTGAGCCCTAGACTGTGGAGTTGAAGATCATGCAACACCTGGTACAGTAAGTATTCATGCCAGTGGGAAGGGGAAAGGGAAGAGGAGGGCACGCCCCTTCCACTTAGGGGAACAATCCAAACCCAGCATAGCACTTCTGCTCATATGCAACACAGCCATGTCTAGGTAAGGCGAGGTTGAAAAATGCATCTTTAGCTGGCAGCATGTATCCAGCTAAAATTTGAGAGTTCTAGTACATTGGACGGAACATTCCTGCTCCCATCCACAGCCAGCCTCCTCAAGGACTTGAAGCCTGCAGTTAACTTCACTCACCCTCACTGACTTCTACCTTTTGACTCTGTCCCTTCCCTCCGTTCACAGACTCGGCCTTATAAAGAATAGCAGCCTCCCTAATTTCACGTCCCCCTCTAGCCCCTACCGTTTTTGCAGCTCCCATTCATGGTTAGCCTTCTCTGCTACCACTTCACTTCCAATTTCTCCTCAAATAGCTCCACCTGGGAGAGTCTGTTCCTGCCTCACCCTTGAAAGATCTCCAAGGCCATCAATGACTCTCATTTGCCAAATCCAGTGTTCACAAGCTCCCCTCATCTCATTGGTCTCACAGCATTTTATCTGGTCAACCACTCCTTCCCCACCTTGGTGTCCTACCTCATCAGCAATTCATTCTTGGTCTACTCTGCTGCAACCTCTTCTGCTCCACCTCTAAACACAGGAGTCCACATGCTCTGTCCTCAACTCTCCTCCCCAAGCAGTCTCATTCACTCCCATTGGTTTAAATACCACCAGGAGGCTGTGTCTCCAGTCCTAAATCTTAGAGCTTCGGACTTGTAGATGAGACTGCCTCCTTGATGTTTCCACTTGAATATGTAGGTCTGGGTCTGTCTCTAGCACTTAGCACGTCACAGGCAGAATTATCATCCCCTGCCCTTCATTTCAGTCAATGGCATCGCCATGACCCAGTTCTCAAGGCCAAAACAGGAGTTTTCCTTCCTACACGCCCTCCCCGCTGCTATCCAGCTTGTTCCTATGTAACAGACCTCTTCTTCTCCACCCACCTTATTGAGACAGACTTCTAGTTGGTGTTACTATTACTTCTGCACTCCTAGAATCCATTTTCCACTCAGCAGCTGTCAGTGTTTTTGGAAACTTCAATTGGATGATGTTTCTTCTCTCTTAAAACACTCCAGTGTTGGTGGTGGTGGTGGTATACATCCCAATAGCTTTTCATGACATTTGGAGTAAAACCATACTTTCTGGTCGCTTATCAAGGACTTGACTGCTAACCAGAAGATTGGCAGTTCAAACCCACCAGCCACTCCACAGAAGGAAGACTGGGAAATCTACTTCTGTAAAGATTTCTGGTGTCTGAAACCCAAAATGGGGTCTCTATGAGTTGGAATCAACTTGATGGCAAGCGAGTTTGGTTTGGTTCTGTACCAAGGATTATAGGAGCTGGCTCCTCACCTTTCCAGCACCCTTTCTCACTAGGCTCCAGCCACACTGCTTTGTACTGCTATTTCCTCTCCCAGAAAGCTTTGTCCCCTGATCTTGGCATGGCTAGTTCTTTCCTGTCATTCAGTGAGTTATAGATTGAATTGTCCCCCAAAAAGTTATGCTAAAGTCCTTACCTGTTACTTGTAAATATGGCTCTGTGGAAATAGATTATGTTATATTATGTTATGATGTCCTCATTATGTTAATGAGGACATGCCAGAGTAGGGTAGATCCTAAACCTAATCCCTTCTGCGTGGTGTGATATAAAGAGAATAGACACAGTGACACACGCAGGGAAGACACCACAGATGCATCTATAAGCAGCAAAGAAATGCCAAGGATTGGCAGCCCCCATAAACTAGAAAAGAGGCCCATAGGATGAATCAACACAGCAGCGACCCTAATTTGGACTTCCAATCTCTAGAACACTAAGAAAACAAATTTCTGTCCTTTAAAGCTTCACATGGCGCCCTGGTGAAAAGGTCAGCAGTTTGAATCCACCAGCCACTCTGCAGGAGAAAGATATGGCAATTTGCTTCCATAAAAATTACAGCCTTGGAAACTGCATTGGGCAATTCACTCTATCCTACTGGGTTACTATGAATTGGAATCAGCTCAATAGCAATTTTCTTTTTCTTTTTGTAAAGCCACTCACTTATGATATTTGCATTATAGCAACACTAGGAAACTAGACAAAGTTTAACCGCAAATGTACCTTAGAGACTTTTCCTGACCACATGGAATTACCTGCTGCCACCTCAACCAAACCAAAAAAATCAAAACCCATTGTTATTGAGTTGATTCCAACTTATCATGACCCCACTGAGTTTCCAAGGCTGTAACTCTTTACTCAAGTAGATCTTCCTCATGCAGAGCAGCTGGTAGATTTGAACTACTGACCTTCTGGTTAGCAGCCAAATGCCTTACCCACTATACCACCAAGCCCCTTCATTTTACCACATCACCATTTAATTGCCCTCAGTACTCATTGCTACATGAACTATTCTTTGTATCTTTCCTTATTTTCTGTGCCCTGTCTATAAGGGACAGGGCAGTGGGCTTTGTCAGTTGTATTCACTGCTGTATGCACAGCACCAGGACAGGTCCTAGGTCAGTAAATACTTTCTTAGTGACTGAAAACTAACTTCTAGTTTTCCTATCACTGATTTTAGTCTTAAAGCTACAGATAAGTGGTGGGCAAGATGGAGGACTGGGCAGAAAGACTGCACAAACCCTCTTCAACAAAGAAAAGGGAAACCAATTAACACAGACACAGAAGATAATCTTGGACCCCTGATCCTTGAAGGGAAGGATATACAAGTGGACTAAACCCCAACTAGCAAAAGAATTTGCGTGAAAATATCAAAAAAGGAGACAGATGGAGCTGTGGTCTGGCAGCAATCCTGAGCAATCCTGACAGCACAGACAGCTTGGAGATTCCGGAGTGGTGGTAGGACCTAAGAATTAACCTAAACATCACCCTGCTAGCCAGGGACTGCACGGAGGACTGTGCACGGTGGCTGGGGAACAAATGGAGAAGGTGAAGAGAAAGGTGGGCTGAGCTGTGGACTTTTGCTGGTCTGGAGGATG